TAACAAAATGAGTGTTCTCTCTAGGCAAAATCGACTCTCCGGACGCGCCGGTGCAGTCTGTTTTGTCATCCGGGGTCGTTCGGACGACGTCGTCGACAATCGGGTCAAAAATGCGTCGAAATTCAAATTTCACAAAATCTCGACCCGCGGTCGATCGTCCCAAGAGGTTTAATTTAGCATTCATCAAAACGCGCCGAAATTCAAATTTCACAAAATCTCGACCCGCTGTCGATCGGATACGTCGACTCCCCGAATTGCGAAGCTTGTGCGCGCGGGAGTACGAATTGTGCAGAAGGTCACGCTAAGGCTCAGAAAGGTCCTATATGAATCCCTTTTGGGCTTCCTCATGTCGGTTTCATCCTTCTAAGTGCTAGAAGTCGAAACCACACACGCGAAGCTCCAAAAGAGGACGGAAGTAGGTCGAACTAAAACAAGGCTGGTCCCACTTCTAAGGTTCTAAGATAGTAGCAGGAAGACCCCTAAGACTAGATCCTAACTCCCACGAGAAATACTAGACCTCACGAAAATTGAGGTCAACACCAGCTTATCAGGATAAGCTGCTTATCAATGGATTATCAGGATAAACTACTTATCTAGATAAGCTGAATAAACTGCACTGCCCCAAACAGATCCTTTTTGAAGTGGTTGTCTTAAAGTCTAAGGTTCAAAAACTTTTACCAATTATGTTTCGAAATTTTGATTATGTTGTCACTCAAGCATTATTAGGTGGGGTTAAAGTTGATAGAGCAACACCGGCTAGGATCCCACGGTTCTCTCGTTCTGGTAGCACTATTTTCTTTTGAATTCACTTAGTATAAACGAGTTTTTAAACAACTTTAAACTGAGGAGATCTCGTTAGCAACTGTGGTTTACCTCATCAGAGGGAGTCCCATAAATTCAAAAGTACGTGTTATGTTTTTTTTTTTGTTTTGTTTTAAAAATATTGTTTAATTTTTTAAAATTGTTTTGTTTTGAAAATGAAATTGCAACAATGCATACATAATATATTAAAACAAGAGTAAATTACAGTGATAAAAATGACAATAAATAAATGATACACGTGTACATGTCATCTTTTCGCTATTCTCGCTGCATGATTAGCTCATAAAATATAATATAATTTGGAGGGAATTTAAATAAATTGTAGAAGAAGAAAGAAAATAAAAATTTTAGTGTTAAAAGCAGCAAAGCGAGCGAAAACATAACCTACCCCAAAAGTCCGTTTAAATAAAAGACACAAAACAACCATTTTAAAAGTTTCTAATCAACAATTTAAAATGCTCCAAACAGTAGTTAGCGACTCCAAGTAGCAATCCTATGGTCTCCTACAGCTCCAAGCAACAGCTAGCAAGCTTACACAACGATCCTAAGACCTCCTACAGCTCCGGACAGCAGCTAGCAAGTCTAAACAACAATCCTAATGTCTCCTACAGCTTCGGACAACAGCTAGGAACTCCAAATAGTGCTTAAGGCCTCCTACTGTTCCGGATAGCAGTTTGCAACTCTAAATCGCAATTCTAAAGCCTCCTACAGCTCCAAGCAGCAGTTTGTAACTCCAAATTGCAATTCTAAGACTCTTACAGCTCCAAACAACAGTTAGCAAGCCTAGATAACAATAGCATGAGTCCAAATGACAATTAAATGAGCCCAAAATCAGCTAGGAAACCCAGCCCAAAAATGGCGAAAATAATCAAATCCGTGCCAAAAACCACTTCAAATCCGTTCTCAAAACTCCTCAAAACAGCTGATTCTCGTATTACCTTGAGATCTGGAGGATTCTTGTATTTTCTAAACTCCTCAAAACAGAGCAAATGTATAGCTAGGGCAGCCTTCAAAATCTTCTGAAGAAGGTGAACATTGATAGCTAAAACATCATCTAAATCTCTCCAAAACAGTGAGTAAAACAGTCCCAAAACGGTGAATACAACAGTCTTGAAACAATGAGTTCAATGCCCCCAAAATAGTGGAAAGTGCAGCCCAAACTTTTTCCAAAAGGAATTTAAGACCTAATTAAAGTAAGAGCCTTTTTTAATAGAAGGTCGTTTAAACCCATCATGAAAACAGTAAAGTTTCTTCTATCATTTGTCTCCAGTGCTGACAAGAAATTAAAAGTATAGCATGAAATAAAATATTAGACAGATACTCATTTTAAGAAAGCTTAAGTAATAGTTGGCATCCTTCATGAAATAAAATTATACGTAGATACCCATTTGTCAGTGAGGAATGGTGGCAGCCAAAGGCATCGACCGAATTTGTTTTTAATAAAAGAGAAATTATACCTTCAGGGAGGATGCTCTGGTGAGACGTCGGTTTTTTGTGAGATGAGGAGGTAGGAGGCGAGACGAGCGGGTTTCTGTCGAGAGTGGGGGCAGGTCACGCGAGGGAGGGGAGGCCGAGCGTTGTTTGGCGCAGAGAGGAGAGGAGACGAGTGGGGCAATGGTGTAGTGGCGTGGTCGAACCAGAGGAGGTTTCGGTGCCGGGAGGGAGCGGCAAAGCAGGCGTGCGGCTGCTTGGTCGTGCGAGAGAGGGGAGCAGGCGAGGGCTTCGGTTTGTAGAGTCGCCTCTTGAGAGGGATCAATTAGACAAAGAAAGGGGAGCGGGATCGAGGGGCACAACCTTTGATTCAAGGAGTAGAGGAGGCGAGCGTTTTCTCGGTCGTGAAAGGGGAAGCCGAGTGAGGGTTTTTCGTGGAGAGGGAGATGCGAGCAGGGGGCTTCGGTGCAGGAGAGAGGCGAGCAGGGGGCTTCCGTGCAGGAGAGAGGTGAACATAATTTCTGTCGAGAGAGAGAGGCGAGATAGAGCGTGAGAGGGAGGAGTTCGGAATCTGCTTGTGAGGAAGGGGGAGGCCGTTACAGGGCATTATGCGGGGAATTGATGAATTTACATTTGTGGATGAGTTTTATTTGGCTGGTATAAACTTCCAAATTAAATTAATTAGGGTAAAATTAATTGACTCATTTGAAATTTGAAAATTTAAAATTCTAAATTGCTTAGCCCTTGTTCAGCTCGAGTTCAACTCGAATTGAATGTTGGCTAAGCCTGAACATGTGCCCCGCTAATTAAAAAAAAGTGCATCGATTTTGTGTTGATTGCTTGCATTCGGAATCATAGTGATGTAAGTGTCCTATCTAGCTAAAGTCGACGTCCTAAACACATTCAAGTGGTTCGTTTCGTCATCTGTGGTCCTTCGGACGAGTTCACCGACGGTCAGGTCAATTCAAGTCAACATCGTGCGTGGTGTAGTGAATGCACAAGTTGTGGTGTTCGCGAGCGTTCGAGTCATTAAGGGTTTCTCTCTGGTTGCTCCTATTCATGTATGAACTCGACTTGAGCTTTATTATGATAGTTCTAATTACTCAGCAAAATGCCGAGGATTCAGAACTGCTCATAAGGGCTCAAAGGAGTTAAGGGGTGGCTCGAATGTTCTAAACGGTATAGGTCCCATTTCTAGTCTTCTAGGAGGGTCAAATAAAGAAAACTTAAGGCTAGACCCTAGACTCTAAGGAGAGAAGTAAAGACCTCATAAAAAAATGAGGTCAACAAATATTTTTCTAGCACACTACAATTCAATTTAAAAATATCTAATGGATTTTAAAATTTTATATTGCTATGATAAGAGCTAAATGTTTTGAACTAAAGGACGAGCAAAAATAAAATTGGTTGAACAACGATGGTCGGATGCTGCATGTGGCAATATGTGGATGTAAATAAGACCAAGTATTCATTACTCATATAAGTGCAGCAAAAACAAGATTTAATATAAGATCAGAAAAAATGATATAAACTAGTAACTGGCAAGATATATGTGGTAATATAATCAATACTTGCCAAAAGGGCATAGTAGTGCCATCAAGAATCATAACATACATGATTCAAAGGGGACAATGAGAAAATGATAAGTGTTTAGGCATGTAATGTGAAGCTTTGAGATAAATTATGATGATTGATAAATTATGTAAACTAGTAACTGGCAAGATACATGTAATGTGTTGATATGTAATGTGAAGCTTTGAGATAAATTATGATGATTTAAAGGCATATGTCGAGAAGCTCAATTTATGTAAATAGATGGATATACAGCTAAGGAATTTGCGTCGACAAACTTAGAGTAGACATAATACATGGTTGTATGATAATGAATTTCTAAAATTGATGGACAAGCAATTTATCTTATGATGATTGATAAATTACAACAAATCATCTCTAGCATCAACCATGACGAGAAAAACAATAAAAGCCCGCATAGATGTAAGGCAAGACACAAATATCAAATTCAAACTAAAATCTATACAAAATAATGAAAATTTTAAAACAAATTTTATGATCAACTAAAAAAATTCAACTTAGATTCGTAGAGCTCATATTCGATGTTGAACTTTCTTATATGGCCTTAATGGTGCATGTTAAAGTGGTGCAATAATTGCATTGGCTTTTTATTGAATTCAGAAATATGTTGATAAAAGTGGGCCTATATATAGGCAAGGGAAGAGACAAATAAAGGAGAATATTCTTATTGCATATATATTATTATAATAAATATTGTAAATTCCTACTAAAATTTTAAACATGTTATAATATTGATACAATAATATCTTTAAACGTAAACTTTAACAACTTATAGTATTTACCATAGGTGATGTAACTCTAGGACTCTAAAATATTATTTAAACTATGGAATACCTTTTGTTTTGGGGGGATCCTCTTGTCAATGTGAATAACCTAAAGTTACTAGGGAGTTAATGATACCTTTTTTTCTTTCTTTTATGCTTTTTCTAGTTTTTTTTCTTCTTGTAAAGCAAATCAATTTTATAGGGTCTTTGCAATTTATTTCATGTTCCGTGTATAAAATGTCTTGCATCAGCTTTTATGTTATTTTTCCTCTTAATGTTCTAAGGGTGTTTCTTTTTGCACTGTTTAATACACATGTATGTGAATATTGTCTTTTTGTTGTTTATTTTAGAGTGAATTTGGCAATTCGATAATGATATAAGCATATGCAGGTCGTGGTGATAGGAAATTTTGATGAATCGCACAAGCATCTTAAAAATTCAAGCATCTATTGTGTCTTCGGTGAATTGTGTGTTGGTACTCAAATGATCCAACATGGAGTTTATCGATGTACTGCATTGCCACAAATCCCGGGAATAGTTGATCTTTTCTTAACTTTGGATGGTCAAACACCTATTAGTCAGGTTATAACATTTCATTATCGTCCTCTCCCGGTGGTGCAGTTGAATGATGTACGTACTTCAGAGGATGGCAAAGAAAAGGTAAATTTTAAAGATGCAATGCTGCAGAGAAGGTTGGCACATCTTCTCTTCTCTACAAGCAACTACATGTCCATTTATACCAGCAAACTGCATCCTAAAGCTATCAAGAAAGCACAAAAAGTTGCATTGCTTACCTCACCTTATATTGAAAATGATTGGAAGGAGATGCTCAAATTAGACTCCAGTAATGAGATTTCATCTTATCAAGCTTGTGAAGGTTTGCTTGAGTTGGCCTTGAAAAACAAATTGCAAGAGTGGTTAGTGAAAAGAATAGCTGAAGGATGTAAAACAGCTACCCGTGACAGTCATGGTCAAGGTGCCATCCATTTGTGCGCTATTTTGGATTACACTTGGGCTATTAATCTATTTTCATTGTCAGACTTTTCCCTGGATTTTCGGGATGCTTTTGGTTGGACAGCATTGCACTGGGCCGCATATCTTGGCAGGTCGAGTTTCTTTTATCCAGAAATAGAATCTATCATGAATCTGTTTGCAGTTATACTCATCATTAATACATAGCAATGTCTCACTAGTTTCTCAAGGAATTCTTGTTAACCACTTTTGTAGGTTGTGGGACTTCAGTGCTTCACTAAAGTTGATTTAAGCTTTCCTAACTGAATCACTTTTGCTCTGGTTCAGACTCTCTTGTTTTATTAAATTTTCGGTCGCTTAATTTTTCACTTATGTAGGCGTGCATTCTTGTTTTACAGAATGAAGGCTTGGATGCCCAAATGGCTATATTCATATGCTTTTTCTTTTCAAGCTCAAAATTATAACAATATCATGATGATTATAATAAGGGTAATTTTTAACTATTACAATAGTATAAAGAAATATAAAAGAATGAAAACATAATGCATGGAAGGAAGAATGAATTATTTTAGGCGAGTGTTGCTGGCTCCAATGGATCCTTTAGCCCAATTCGTTGTGTGTTTAGTGAAGCCAGGTTAAATTTTTAGAAAGTCTCATTTTGTGTATGGCGACCAAACACTATGATTGAATAATGTGACACCGACTCAATTCAAATTTTTAGTTCATAACAAAATTTTAACATTCTTCAATTATTACTTGTTGTAGAAACCTGGCAATGGATTTGTAATGTATTTATCAAGAGTTGATCTACATTATTTGTGGGTTGAAATCAATACTTCCTTTTATATGCTCTGCTTACTCAATGTCAGTCAACTTTTTAAAAGTGTGTTTTTTTGAAGTTTAGTTTAATATATATATATATATATAATTTTAATTTTTTTTTTAAAATAGTATTTTTAATTTTTGAAAAAAATGAAACCGTATAGATCTCATATATTTGATACTTTAAGTAATCGTGCACAACCCTACAAACAATACACTCATCCTGAAAGTTAAACACATCACTTGAAAAGTTGTATCAATTATATAAATTAATGAATTTATGACATCTATATGGTCTGCGAACCTTTTATGTCTGAATGACCGAGGTCACTTGAGAAAACTCTCGTTAATGATCAGAGGTACTAGTCTTCAATAATTCAAGATTTAGTTTTTCACGTTAAGATGCGACAAATCCATTGGAAAATAACCAAATATAAGCAGTTATTTCAGGAATCCAAAGGAAGGAAAAGGTAGGAGACGTCACAGATCCTGAGGAGAACTCTCAGTGACTTCCAAAACAATCTTACTGTGTGGCTGTGTTTTGGAGACAATATTATTGAAGTGTTCAATCCTTTCAATTTGTTTATTTATGACTTCTATTTACGTAATACCCGATTATGCAAATAGCCCGCAGAGATATGAGGGTTTACGTCTTACCGAACGATAACTTCTGAACCTAAGGCGAGTTAGGACTTACGATGCACAACATGGTTGTGCAGGACCCTAAAGAGGATGTGAAGATTTACGTTGCGTTGGGCGAGCTACCTCGAAGTCTTATGAGTTATTGTTATGTAATGTTAAGGAATGGTTTTGTTGGAGTAGATCTGTTCATGTGCTGAGTCTCTTGAAATTGCTATGCACTTGCTTGCCTCCTCGTCGTGCTGCCCACCAAGCTTGCTCCGAGTTCCGAGCGTAAAGACTCCGGGTTTTGGGTTTTATGAGTGAGCATGCAAATTTGTTTGGTCGGTGGCTCGCTGTAGTGTACCTCCTAAACAACCAGCTTATTGTTCCCTATCCTAAAGATCTTTACAATTTTGTAAGTAAATACTGGAATAAAAGAACAATAAAAGCACAGTAAGAAAATGCAGTGGAAAGTGCAATAAAGAAGAAAAACAGTAGGAGGTGCAGTAAAAACGATAAAATGCGGTAAATATAAAATAAACTTGCGTACATGGCGTGTCTAGTACTGCTGCAAAAGGTGTCAGCATCATAGGTAAAAGTAAACAAGTATTGCAGATAATTTAGCTAGCATGACGAACATGTGTATATATGTGTAAGTGAAAGAACATGTGACCTATATATATATATATATATATATACAAAATTTGTAGGAATTGTTGCCAGTCGGCTCAGCCTATATTTACTCACCTAGCCTCGCGTCATCTCCATGTAAACATGTTCTTTTTTTCAACAACTCTCATGTCATTTGTCATATGTTTGCTCAAAGCTTAATGGAATCACATATTTAGAACTATAAATATGTGCTCATTACATCAACCATTTCACTTTTGAGAAAATAATGAGTGATTAATTGACTTTGTTGGAATGGATGGAGACCTATATTCACCTCCCTAATTTTATATTCTTTACATTTTTTTTAAGGAAGAGGCGAGTGCCAAATAACAAATTTGATACAGGCGGGATATGATTCCAGGGCCTTGACAATAACTTGAAAAAACTTTTCAACTACAGTAGTTTGCACCCACTATGATGTACCTTAACTATAGATTCACAGGCAATATTAAGTTTAGGATTTTTATCATAAAGTTCCTTTGTAATACATTGTATTGTTTTATATTTCATTTAATTTTCTCCTTGTGCTAAAATTTATAGTGTAAATGTTTGGTGAAATATATGTTAAGGCTGTAATTAAAATTTGTTAGGTGTTTGGGAACAAGTGTTATGGCATTGACTTGAGTCGGTGGAATTATCAAAGTGGGCATTGTTATAAGATTCATGCGCTTGTTTAAGATCTAAATAAATAATTAGTATTTGTTTAATTATTTTGATTAGTTTTATTTCTGTAATAAAACTTATGGGAGAAATTTATCATCTCAAAAATTAGTCATCGTATTCAAAAAATGTTTTTTTTAATTAATCCTTATTTAAATAAGATATGCCTATAAGCCAGATGTCTTGTTAATACTTACTTATGTTACTATTAATTTTATCTAATTAATGTTTGGTAAACCAGATAATTCATAATTTTAAGTGCTATTTAATATATTATTTTAGTAATATTTTGACTAATTAATAAGGTTAAATTATTTCTACTATTTCTAGTTTATTTTTATTAATCAATCTAGAAATTTATCTTTTGTAAGCCTAATTAATCAGGCTAATTTAAATTATAAATTATTGGTGGTTATCTGATTACTTTACACATCATATGACTCCTTACGATTAGTGTACCTCCTTTTACTATTGCTGCCAATATGAGTGTTTATTAACATGATATAAAGTTCTTGCGTCCCTCTTGTTTTATCATACTGGAATTGTACTCTTGTAGCACCTTTATTCTCTAATTAAAGCATCCAATAACTTATTTTATTTATTATTTCTTTTTTTTTCTTTCTTTCGAACCAAGTCTTCTTGAAAAGTTTATTGTGTTCTTTGAGTTTCAGCTTTTATGGCTTCTAATGATGGCTTTTGATTTTCTTGCTCCAATAAAGGAATAGTTTTGATGATAGTAAGCTGTATTGCTCAATACTTTAACTTTCATCATCACCCTCGTAGGTTAACGACTGTGTCCGTGGATCTGTTTGTAGCTACTGGATTGTATTCCATTTTTGAGTTTTAGCCAAAAATTTGACAAAATCTTTATTGCGTAGGTACTTGGATGAGTTGTTTCGTCAATTCTCTTATACCTTTTTTTCTTATGAATTCTAATTGTAATTTGGACCCTTATCAAGCATTGCCTACATTTTGCTATTGCTTCTATTATCATGAACCTCTCTCACATATATGTTGAGACTTCTTGCATTTGGCATTAATTATTTCGTTGTAGAATGTTTTCTGTTTTTCTTCGTGGTATAAAGTGGGCCTCTATGTTAACATTCAATGTTTCTACATCCTTTATGAAGGGCTTCTTAGATATCAAGATGAGAGGTGCCAGCTTGAGAAATGTAATGGTTGCTCCGGTTTCCTGGTTCTAATTGAATGCATTTTTTGTAAGTTATGTGAGAGGGATAACATTGTTCCCAATTTAATGGATTTTCGGTAGTAATTGCCAAGCTAAGGATGCCTCTTAATTGATTAATGGCTTTTTGGTAGAGGCTATTCCATGATGGCCTCAATCTTATCTGGATTAGTAGTGACTCTTCTTTTTTCCCACAATATGTTGCATCCACTCAACCTTAGCTGCACTAGTAAGCAGTTATACTTGAGATGAAACATATTAGTTTGAAGGCAGCACGAGACGGATTTTCAAATGTTTTTGTTTGTAGATTGTGTGAGAATATTATAAAAAATAATGATGAATCTCTGTGTAGTTTTAAAATTATTTTCATGATGGTTTACAAATTGGAGAGTGCATGGGTAAACCCAAATAACATTAATGTAACTCATTGTGTCCTTCGTTTGTATGAAATTTGTTCTTTTGCACCACATTTGATGGTTCCCCACTCTAAAATCCAGTTTTGATAAAAACTATGGCTCCAAACAGCTTATCAAGCATCTCATTGGTTAGTTGGATTGAAAAATGATGGGGTATAGTTGCTATACAAAGTGTTATATGCCACACAAAACCTAAAATGTGTTATTTTTTCTAATACTAGTTGCATCAACAAGGAGAAGGGATTGATGCTTGGTCAAAGTACCTTTGAACCCAACATTTCCTGGACCATTTTCTTGATTATGATTTTCTTAAATTTGAGTATATTAATATGATCAAACATTTTCGATGATGTTTTCGATTTAATGGGTATTTTGATTATCTTTTTTCTGGAGCAAGGGAGGATCTTGGGTGACACAAAATTGTTAAAATTCTTGCTGCATTTTCTTGATTAGCTCCTTTGTTTTGCCGTGGTTGAACTTGTTTAGTTTTGATATGTGACCAAGGTGGTGTGCTAGAAGCAGGAAGCTATTGGCCATTTTGTAATAAGCTTCTTTGATTGACTGTACTAATCTCAATGACTATTATTGTCTATTAGTTTGATTCCATATTATAATTGTTTCATTCTATAACGAACTATGAATAATAATGACACACATTATAGATGCAACTATTATACAACTAAAACTACTTCCTTCAACTCCCATGATTGGATGAACTCAGAAATCAACCCAAAAAAAAGTTTCCTTATAGTTTGCT